AGAGAGAGAGAGAGAGAGAGAGAGAGAGAGAGAGAGAGAGAGAGAGAGAGAGAGAGATCAGGTTTGTCGAAGAGCCAAAGCGAACCCACAAACCAACCAGCAAACACAGTAGCAGCAGACGAGGCAAAACCCACCGCTTTCCATACTCCATAACCCACACATGTCAAAGCAACAACAATCAGAGCCAGCCGGTGGTCCCCACCACATCAGCTATATTGTTGACCCACTCTTCTAACACATTAGCGGTATTATGTGTAAGCTGGAAGACCATGGGATATCATAGAGACTATCTCACAGCCACTGAGTGCAGGGTCCCTGCACATCTTCTGCTGCATAGCATACACCCATTTAAACTCCGAACAAGTGTGGCACACGCTTCTTCTGCCACTGGCGCTGGGGGGGGATAATGAAATGTCTAGCTGTGCAATGAATGATAATATTTTTGATATGGAAAACATATTTTGTCAGTGCGCTGAACGAAAGAACCCATCCAGTCCAACCAATGAATCCAATCCAACCAATCAAATTCAATCCAGCAAACCGGTTCAATCCAACCAACCCAACCACCCATCCACCCGGCTTGCTAACCAACGAACTCCCACCCACCCACCCACCCACCCACCTCACCGCCACCCTACCTTCCTCCATCTCATGAGATATTTTGGCCTCTTTCTCTCGAATCTTCTCCATGATAATATCGGCAAGAGTCCTCTGAGGTTTGGCGTCCGTCGCCAAAAACATTGCCATTGCCTTTTCATCCTCAGCAGAGATTTCCTGTGACCAGAAGAGAGAACAAGAAAGCCATGTCAAAGAGAAGACGACGTAAACTCTTTGAAAAATCACATGCTTCCAAATTGTTTGATCGTAGCATCGTTTACAGCAGAAGAAAAACAGAGAAACAGATGTCGATTGGACGGATTAGAATTCCATCGAGCGATTTATATAGATCGAATAAATTTACAGATTCAACAGATTACTCAATTGATTTAGATTTATAGTAGACAGATTTCGATTTCCTAGATTAGATTTGTAGTAGACAGATTTTGATTTTATAGATTTAGATTTAGACAGATAGATTAGTTAGATAGATAGACTGATAGGTCTGATAGATTAGATTAGAATCGTTAGATAGATTGATTTCATAGAAGGGCAAGCCTAATGGTAATCAGAGCAAGCAGAAAACGACACTGGTAGTTTTTTTGGGCAGGCTCCCAATGCCTCCCATGCAATTGTCAGACCATCCACAAGCAATCAAGCCGAAGAACTGGAGATGGCGCGGCAGCCCTCCTGTTAACCAGGGTGGCAGAAAGCACGATGGTGGGCAGTGGAAGAGGAACCCACAAAGCCGTCATTCCTTCTTCAATGGACAACACAACAGTGGCCTCGATTCTTCTGGACAACGAAGGAAATCAATCAATTGACAGAAATTCTAGGCTGTTTTTGTCCCGGGCACCCAACTTGTGCCCGGATACACGCCGGGTGCCGGGCATGACCCCCGGGCAGGTTCCGGGCAGCATCGGAGCAAAAAAAAAAAAAAAAAAAAAAAAAACCGGAAAAAAAAATGTTGTGTAGAATTGCAATACAAACGACTTTTGGCTGAGGGTCACATCAGAATTCCTCACAGAATCGGAGATAAAAAAAGAAAATAACAGAATCACACTAAGGCGCCCCCCTTTAAACTTGAACCCATTTAGCCCCTTTAAAACCAATTTACACCCCCCTTCCCCCACCTTGACAGCCAAGTCTCGAAACAAAAAAAGAGACCAGATTTGGGGTCCTCTGGGAGAGCGCAGAGAACCTTCCCCCCCCACCAAAAAAAACCGGGTGCCCGGCCGGGCGTGTGACCTAGCAAAAATTACTAACATAGTCAGGAGGCATGTACTTCCTCAAATCAGATATCCATTTGGTGACATAGAAACTCCTCCCTTGCAACAAAGAGGGAGGCATAGACCAACAACAGACGACCCTGGCCAGTCAAAACCTATCTTTAAAAAAAATAATAAAAAAAATAACGTGGCCCGACGGACCACGGATCAGATATTAAACTGATCAGAACAGATACTACTACACTTTATCTATTTTTAGCCAAACAAACGGCCGAGAAACGCAAAACGTATCCTGTTCCGTACAACAATCAATCCTTCTTCCTTGAGTGGGGCGTGCCTTCCATGTTCAAACCCATCCAATCATTTCCCATCCAATCATTGCATCATTGGAGAATGATGGCACTCACCACCACTTCTTCATCATAGTGGTCATCATCCCTGTATGGGTCATAAGCATCTTCATCCTCGCTATCACTGCTCTCTGCGTTCAGCTGTCCAGCAGCAACCGCAGCAAATGCCTTTCGGGCAGCGACAGCCCCTCTCTCTTCATCCCTGCAGACATCATCATTGCATCCTCAAGTGAGCAGGAACCGTCAATGAACAGTCACGCACGATGTGCACAGCACAATTCATGCAGTAGCAGCAGCCACCATCATAGCTCGATTTCAACACCATACATTGCTTGGTGATTACAACACCGTATAGCTCGTTGATTTACCATATGCTTAGATCTAACCAATACGACCACCTTCTTCCCCCGAATGCAAGGTACGGTCATTATAGCTGTATTTAGAGGGAAAAATACCCCATACACAGCTATAATGACCACACATTGTATTTGGGGGAAGAAGGTAGGAATCGGCCATGCCGCCGCTCGCCTTAGAAACGAGATCCTCAATTGAAGTTAAATTGCGTGAATACTGGCGTATTGTATTAGCATGAAATCAATCATGCTCTCCTCCTTCACGTCAGTCATTACCGGCGCTTCATCTATGAAACCGCTCGCATTCATTAAATTGCCTTCTTTTCCGCATACAATCCACCGAACACCATATCGCTTCTTGATTACACCACCGTATAGCTTGTTGATAAGAACAACATATAGTTTGTTGACTACAACACCATATATTATAGCTTTATTCCACCCTATGGCTTGATTGACATGAAGAAAATTAGCTATATATTGCCACATAACTACGAACTAAAAGAGCCCAAAGTTTGCGAAACAAACAGCAGAAACAAAAACTTAACAAACAAGACAAACATGAAGGGCACACCGAAACCATTCATTTTTCTCATTCTTCTTTTAACTCCCCTTCACCGTGCCTCTCACGTACAAGGCTCGCCACCCGAACTGCCCGGTAAACCGTTGGCAGAGATGGAGAAGAGGACAACAAACGAGGGGCTGATATATATATATATATAGTGTGTGTGTATACAGCTCAACATATTCAAGAACACATGCACCATAGCTATTACATACCCTATTGCATCGTCATGTCTTTTGTTCCTCAGGGGAGTAAATACATAAGCTGCAACTGTTATCCCTTGATTGCTGCCATTTTCTGGATATATCGAGAAAATTGACAAAGGTCACATCTTGCATCCAGCACTCTAACAAAAAACAAAAAAAAGCACACACACAATAATGCTATTACTTTCCACCCTTACCCCTTCTTCATATGCGCAATCACCAATTACACCCTAAATAGCAGGCAGGCCCACACATTGTCAACGCGACTGAGTGTACGAAGAAGGGTCATACCTTCTCTTACCAGTAGTTATACCCACAGTTGGTCCCAGAGACTGAAAAAATTGGGCTAGGTTCCCATCTTTGGATCTATGAGATCAAGCTGGTGGTTTTTTTTTTTTTTTTTTTTTTTTTTTTAATTGGAGTTGGCCGCACAGGCCAAAAAAGAAAGGGGGTATAGTTCCCACCTTTGGATCTATAAGATTAAGGTTTCTTTTTTTTTTTTTTTTAGGTGCCCCCCCAATAGCTCTGCAAGGAGATAGACCAACACCATTGCCATGATTGCCACCACCAACACCTTACTGCCATCACTAACAGCATTAGCCATCATACCCACACCACCGTCTTCCCCCGAATAAATAGCTGCTGTATTTGAGGGAACTTCCAGTCTAGATACAGCAATAAGGACTACATTCTATTCAGGTGAAGACCACTGTACTTTCTATTCAGGTGACGACGGCAGTGCCACCATACGAACACATTGCTGCCATCATAATGACACCACACTGACACCAGGCAAGACAGTAATCGCACACACATTTTATCAAATGAATCTGGGCATTGTCACTGCCAGATACATCCCAAGAAGTCCTAGTGTGAACATGCCGTATGACACCAGTAAGAAATATTGGTGCGACGATGTAGCTGCCCGGAGGCCGATTGGTACATGCAGGCAGAGGGCAAATAAACAAATCAAGGGGTTCATTAACAGATCAAGAGTTCAAGAGTTCAAGTCAAGAGGTTGATTAACAGATCAAGAGTTCAAATCCGGATCGACACAAAAACAAATGGCTTGGTCTGATTAAGTGGACCAAACAGAGGGCAGCCAGAGAGGAAAGCAGATTGTAAGTTTCAGTCAGTGTGGTGAAAAGGGAAATCCATCCATTCATCCGCCCATCCATCCAATGGATTGATTGATTGCATTGTTGAATGAACCATTGATTGATTGATTGGTTGATTGGGTACTAGCGATGACCAAAACGTAAACAAGGATTAAGCGTACCAAACAGATAGCAGCCAGAGAGGAAAGCAGTTTTTAAGTTTCAGTCAGTGTGATGAAAACGGAAATCCATCCATCCATCCATCCATCCATCCATTGGATTGATTGATTTCTTTGTTGATTGATTGGTTGATTGGTTGATTGGTTGATTGGTTATTAGCGCTGACCAACACATAAACAACAAACAAACAAACAAACAATTAAACGAAACGACACAAAAGGAAAGGAAAAAGAAAAGAAAACGAACAGACCGTTCATGCTGCATTTCTCGCTGCTGCTCTTTGGCTTCCTTCAGAATCTTTCCGCTCAGACCTGAGGGGATGTACTGTGAAACCAGAAACATAGGATGCACATGGAAAGGCACCAGACCACAAAACAAACAAACAAACAAACGGATAAGCCAACCATGTCTCTGTACGATCTCACGTCCAGGAATCTTTGTATAGTTTTCCTGTCTTTCGAATTGAAGGGGACCACCATAAGACAGCAAAGGTTATGTGACACAAGTTACTTTTTAAGGGGGGTTATATAGCTCCCCTTACGAGACCTATGTTCATCTGATTGCAGCAGGATTTGAATTTTGAACCCATGATTTGTTTGTTGCATTGCAAAGACACCCATAGCCCACAGCAATCTCCTCTGCCTCCCCATCTGGACCATATCTCAATTTAGGCGCGACATCCTTGATTGCGCAGGGGCCATTTATTTTGCTAATACACCCTTCTCTGTATCGTTCCAAATTATTTTAACGGATGTCTTCCCGAAGGACGCCAGGGCATACTCACACTAGCCGGCCGTATCTCAAATGTATCTGACCACATTCATGGCCATACCTGGATGAATCTGGGCAAAATTCCGCCCAAACATTAAGTAATAAAGTCGTAGTGTGAGTATGCCCTTCGATTCCTCAGTGGCTGGGAGAATTTCATACAATATCCTTATCAAAACCGCCGGAGTTCGGCTCTTTTTTTTTTTTCCAAATGCACCTGGTCATACCCCATTACACTATTACTATTTACTACCTCGTCTTTCATTTTCGAATGAACCTGTTCATTCCCCATTACACTATTACTACGTGCAAGGAACATTTCCCTTAAAGATTGACAAGCAGTTCTTTTTTTCTTTCTTTCTTCTTCTTTTTTTTTTTAATAACAAAAACGGAGCCTTATGGCTCTGGCTCCTTGTCCATTCTGGGGAGCGTCAGTCAGCACGGATCCTATTACACCGGCAAGGTTTTTTTTTTTTTTTTTTTTTTTACAAGTACATAGGACAAACAAACAAAGTCTTTTCTTTTTCTTTCGCTCCTTTTTTCTTTCCCCTGCCCACGATATGTTTCTGTACTCAAGGCCTGAAAACACACACCAAACAAAAGAGAAAGAGAGAGAGAGAGAGGGAGAGAGAGAGAGAGAGGGAGAGAGAGAGGCTGTAGAAAGGGGGGGGGAGAGAGAGAGAGAGGACCTCTGTTGGCAGGCGTCAAACGAAAGAAGAAAATCCAAGTTCGTATCGGCAGATAGGGCCTCGCCACACCACCGTCGAAACGAAAAAAAGTACCGAGTGAATGTTCCCGCAGAGAGTGGCAAGATGCATCGGTTACTATAAATAGGAACGGAAATGGATGCATCTTGCTACTTTCTGCGGCAGATGCACGCGTACTTTTTTATTCTCCCCACAGCGGTGTGGCGAGGCCCTTAAATGTACATCAACACCTCAAATGAGATTTGATGTGAGAGGGCGGTATCACCTCCCTCCGCGGGGGGAGAGAGTTAACCACATTATATCCCCATCGATCAGAGCCGCCACCACTGCGTGTCCTTCTGCTGTTTAACTCGAGCCGCCGCGTGTTCTTCAGAGTTTACGAGTCTATGGGCCTCGCTCCACTACACAACACTATACATGCATTTGGACGCTTGAGGGACCAGGTGCATTCGGACGATTCCAACGTTGTGAATGTATTCGGGCAAGAAAGCGTCCAAATGCATGTACAGTGTTGTGTACTGGAGCGAGGCCCTATATCACATCACCCCCACCCCGGGGAGTTTTAAACCCATTATTACATCACCTCCGATCAGAGCCGCCGCCACCGCGTATTCTTCTGTCTACTGTTTAACTCGCGGCTTAACTCGCGGCTTAACTCGAGTCTTAACTCGGTGGCGGCGGCTCCGATGGGAGGTGATACTGTATAATGTGTTTAAAACTCCCCGCGGTGGGAGGGAGGTGATATAGACTAACACACCAACTCTGATCGGAGGAGGTGTTGATGTGTACTTTACTCTGCCCATATGAACTTGGATTTTCTTCTTCGTTTTTTTTGGGGGGGGGGGGGGGGGGGGAGGAGGAGTTAAACACATTACAGTATCACCTCCGAGTCATGCATGTCATCATCCTCCGTAGAGGCCATGCTAATCTTCTGTGTACCATTTTTCGATTTACGCATGTCATCCTTGCGCGGGGGCTCATGCTAATCGTCTTTCTCTGTATCGTTCCAATCTTAACGGATGTCTCGTGAAGGACACCTCTCATCGCTTCCGGTCGGAGGTGATGTTAGAGAGACTAATTACCCCATCAAGCTCTGGCTAGGGGGGACAAGGTTGGGGGGGCCGGGAGGGGGGAAGGGGGGGGGGGGGGGAAGGATGATTAAACACTTGGCCCTCCTCAGTCGCTAGCCGGTCCATCTCTCACATCTAAACCAATCATCGATTAACAACTGTCCAGATCAAAACCGGCGGGAATGTCGGCGGCTGATGACAATCAATATGACTGGCTCACGTGTGCGAGAGAATAGAATACCCGGTTGTCGGTGGGGCCCGGATATTGGCCCAGAACGGGGAGTTGGCGGGGGTTCTCTGCCGTCTGTAGCCCGTCGCTCATTAATTTGCCGTCAGATCCAGTATGGGCCTCGTTCGACTACTCACCGAATGTGCAAATTGAGAATGAATCTTCCGCTAGAACATGGAAAGATACAGGGCCATATTTTTTTTGTGGAGACTTCTGCCGTCTGTAGACCGTCGTTCATTAAAAATAATAATAAAAATAATAAAATTTTGAAGATGGTCACACGTCATCGTTTAGCCGGTCCGATTCAGTATCGGCCTCGCTCCATTACTCACCAAATGTGTAAATTGGGAATGAATCTTCCGCTAGAACATGGAAAGATACATACACGGCCAGTTTTTTTTGTCTTTTGTACATGTGGTGAGTAGTGGATCGTGGCCCTAAGCATATCTCAGCCATTTAATTCAGTAGAAGAACACGCCGAAGGAGAAAAAAAAAAAAAAAAAAAGAGCATGATTTTACAGGGAGAAAAAAAAAAAAAAGGATCCCGGCGCTGGTGCTGAAATCGCCAATCGTCCCGCCATGGACGTCCGTCGACGTTCCTGCCACAGACCTCAACAGTTCTCTTACTGTATTTATTTTTTTCCACCCGCCGCCGCCGTGAAACTGAATGATCCTATCATTAAAAAAATACAAAAAAAAAACTGAACGATCCCGTCATCAACTCCGACCACCGACGACGAAGTTTCCCGCCATGGGTTCTGACGCTGCGCGCCATGGGCTGGCAATTTCTTAACCCGCCGTGGATTTTGAAGATTACCTCCATCCCTGCTGGAGATTGTTTCCCGCCATATATATTCTGACGCTTAGCGACATGGATTGGGAAGGTTTTTGCCCGGCGGCCACGGATCATCAAGCTGAAGATTGCCGCCATGCATGCTGGAGTTTCCCGCCACGGATCCTCACTTTTCGCGCCACGGATTTTGGGAAAGTTTTCTCCCAGTCAGGGATTTTGACGATTGTCGTCATGCATGCTGGAGCTTCCCGCCATGGATCTCCCGCCATGAATGATGCAGTTTCCCGCGACGGATTTTGGGAAAGTTTTCGCCCAGCCAGGGATTCTGACGATTGCCGTCATGCATGCTGGAGTTTCCCGCCATGGATCTGCCGCCATGCATGCGGCAGTTCCCCGCCACGGATTCTCACGCTTCGCGCCATGGATCGGGAACGTTTGACGATTGCCGTCATGCGTGTGCTGCCGCAGTTTTCCCGCCAAAATCCCTGACGATCGGGGACGTGAGAATGTATGCTCCAATTTCCCGCCATGGATCGGAAACCGTTGTTCTCCGGCCGCGCGTTCTGACGAGTGTCGTCATGCGTGTGCTGCTGCAGTTTTCCCGCCAAAATCCCTGACGATTCCCAACCATGGATACGGATCACGAAGGTCCTGAAGATTCCCGCCAGATTCCAGCCATATTCCCGCCAGATTCCTGCCGCCAGATTCCCGCCGCCAGATTTCCGGGCATCGATCTCGTCTGTTGGGCAGTTAGCACAATCCTATTGGCGAAAAAAAAAAAAAGGTACAATTTCCTCTATTTTCTTTCAATCAGAACATTATTTGATTGGTGTGATGCTTTCAAAACCCTTCCTGATCCTTCCATAGCCGGATCGATTCGTTCAGTGGTCGAAACCTGTTTTTCCTAAAAGGGAAAGAGGAGGGCAACTCTGGTCGGCACCTTCTGTATTATGCTGACCAGACATGTCCTTCTCTTTCTTTCTCTTGTAGGAAAAAACAAGAAAAGACGGGCAAATCGGAATGACTACCTGGCTTTGCTACTAGATTTGCACATGTCATCATATCCTCGAACACGCAGGGCTCCACCTGATTGTTCGCCCTCGAAGAACGATGGCCTTTCCTCGACGACCTCCGATACCGTCAAAATTCCTTTTTTTCTTTTCTCGTCTATCAAAAGGTATTCACTTTTCGGTTAATTAGTGGTATTCTAGGCTACCAGAGTGGCCCGGGGTCACTTGCCCGGCCGGGCCAAAAAAATAAAAAAAGAAAAAAAAAGAAAAAGGAAAAATGTTTTTATATTTTAATTTTTATTTTGAATTTGGTGAAGAATTTCGATGTGACCCTGAGGCAAAAGTTGTTCAGTTGATTTTTCTGCATAACATAGTTTTTTTTTCGGATTTTTTGGAATTTTTTTTTTTTTTTTTTTTTTTTT